AGTTTGAGACGCTATTTTGCATCCTATGCACTGAAAGTGCTTAAATATTATGGATTCGTGACCTGCCTAAATGGTCCCCTAGAAGTCTAGAATCAAGGGGGTAGTGAAATAGTGCTGCTGGTGTAAAGTGAGAAATGAATATTTTCTTCATGATGATGATGATGATGATGATGATGATATTTTCTTTACACTGTATTTTCGCAGTTTAAATTCTGTATCATTATTATTATATGTGATATATTCAGCGGCGGCATCGAAAGCTTCCCCTCCAGAACATCGGGATATACTTTGTCAGTGATACTTTTTCCTCCTTTGGATTCCTTATTATTTTCAACAGGAAAACAATATTGATCAGCGGCAAATTCTAGTGTGTGGCTGGACAAATGATATTAATTTCCATGTTCATGTGCAATAATACGGCCCTTTTGAACTACATATTCATGAAGTAGCGCATATGAAGTCACAGAGCTGAGCAGACTGTATTGATCAACTCGCTAAATTTACAGGCTAGACCAGAAAGGATTAGATTAAATATTATGTGAATCAGTGACGACTGCGACTATAAGCGTACGCATTAGGCAGTATTAGAACCAGTTGCTCAGATTCTGTCGTGATCAGTGCCGATTATTTAACGGTTTGCCTCATTGCCAAAACAAAGCATGATACGGACAAACCCATCCACTGATTGTAGACAATGTTACAAGCATGAGATATTTGGTTATTTGCAAAATAAATGGTGAATTTGACAAACTGGCAATATAAAGCGAAGCACCGTTGCAGCGATTCAGTCACTGGTGAGGACGGATGCAAAATATCGTCCTCATTGCAATGATGTTAAATGGTACGTCCATGATGAGATTATACAAACTTTACGTAAAGTTTCATTCATAAGCTCTACTGTAAATGTTCATCACTGGTTGTTCTCAAATAGAAAGTTTGGCAAATTTTTACAAAACGCTTTCTTTTGAATGGTCCTTGGAACACGTGAAACGGTTCGTTTTGATTGATAGTTTCTTAAAACGGTGCTCATTTTCAAATACATTAAGGTGTCATTTGCGGCAGAAAATCCGGGGAGAAAACATAATCAATTTAGTTATTGCTTTTCATCTTCAAGTGACTCTGGCCATTAGTCAATGCCATAATTAGTCTTATTTACCTTAAATTAACTCCTCGAGCGCGCTAGGGAACGCCAACTCCTTCTGTGCATCGCCTTCATCCACTACAAAAAACCGTTCGGCACTGCCGAGTTCAACGTAGGGAGGACTGAACTGGCAGGATCGTATCGCCACACGTCCAGAGTAAGCTAACGGTAACTGCTTCACAAAAATCGTGCTGTTTAACACATCTTCAGGATTCTCGCAGGGAAAGAGGGTGAAACAAGGGGATACCGTCACCCCGAAATTCTTTACCGCCTGGTTTGAATTGGTGTAGCGAGGAAAGGTGGAATTAAAATCAACGGTAAACAGCTCAGCCTCCCAAGGTGAGCTGACGGTTTAATGCTGCCTACGAAAAATGTCAGTTAGCTACAAAACCTGCTGCCGGAGTTCTAGAAAAAAAGTGCAGAAGTCAGACTGTGAAACAATCGATCAACGACAAAGATACTGCGATCAAATGCTGCCCAGGTAATATTAGCGAAAAAATTAAGACAGCAGACGAGTACATATATTTTTGTTAAGCGATCAATGTGAGAAACGATCAGGCTGGAGATATTCAACGGGAAAAGAGGACCGGTCGTAGGGTTTAACTTCATCAGAAAGTCCTCATCGGCAACTTTCTCACCGGCGTCAATCTCTTCAATTTCGCCTTCCGGTCGGCAATGTTATATGACTGTGAGATGTGGTCACTGACTACGCCGGAGAATGTCAGCTATCCGTCACCAAAGAAGCTATGAAAAGAAGAATGTTGGGAATCTCATGTCGTAAATATGTCCCTAACACGATGATTAAAGAGCGGACTGAAGTGGAGGACCTTGTCGTCGAGAGCAGAAGGAAGAGGTTGCAGTGACCAGGCACATAGGTCGGCTCGCCGACGAAAGTTTGGTCAGCGATGATAACGGACTTATACCCGTGCTGGGCTAGTTTGACCGCTTGGTCGCCCACTACGACTGTGGAACAGTGATTTTAGGAGGCTGGAGTGCCGCGCTTGGATGGAGA